TTTCCAGGGAATAAAACTGGGAAACTTTAGGGAGCCTTGACCCCCCAAAAAGCCTTTCTTTTGGAATGACCGATAGGCAGGATTTTTCTCAAGACGTGTAAGTACAAACCTTTTACTATTGAGCAGTACAGCATCAGAGAATGAATACGGTTGTTTATACCACCGACCTTGCTTTTTCAAAGTTCATTGAAACGCAAACTTTGTTCTTTTGCTTCATATCAACACAGCTACCCGCCCGAGTCTATAACATTTCCAGGAATATTTAACCATATGCTGTTAGAGAGTTTAATGTTTTCAACATTATAAAGTGAATGACATCCAAATATGCTGGTCGTTACGCCCGCAGGATTTTTTTCTCTGAGACGGCCATGATTCAGAGGTTGTGTGCTGTGGTAGCCAAGGGTGCCTGCAGCTCACAGCTCTTTCCCAAGTGTTGGGTCCACTTGACATTTTCCTGTTGAATCCTCTAAGGATGCCAAACACTAACATCAAGGCCCCAAAATCTCTGTGGGGAGCCTGACCTCTCGCGTCTCTGCCCCCCCCCCCCCCGGGTCCAGTGTAGTGCACGGAGAACCAGGTTTGATTCCCCACTCCTCCGCTTGCACCTGGCTGGATGACCTCAGGCAAGCCATCATTCTGATAAGAGCTGTCCTTGAAAAAGAGCCGTTTCTATCAGAGCTCACTCCAGCCCCACCACCTGCCTCACAGGGTGTCTGCTGTGGGGAGGGGAAAGGAAAGGAGATTGTAAGCCACTCTGAGACTCCCTTGGGTAGTGAAGGGCCATGGGGTATAAATCCAATCTCCTCCTCCTCTTCTAATCTGGGAGGACTGGGTTTGATTCCCCCACTCCTCCTCCACTCGCACCTGGCTGGATGACCTTGGGCAAGCCGTAGCTCTGACAAGAGCTGTTCTTGGAAAAGAGCCATTTCTGCCAAGAGCTCTCTCAGCCCCACCCGCCTCCCAGGGGGTGCCTGTCTGTTGGGGGGAGGGAGAGGAGTCAGTGAGCCGCTCCGAGGCTCCCTTGGGGGGTGGTGAAGGGCCATGGGGGATGAATCTGATCTCCTCCTCCTCCTCCTCTTCTCTGTCCACCCAGGACCCTCCGGTCCCGCCCCAGGGCCCGGTGAGAAGAAGCGGGCCCCCTGGGACCTGAAAGGGCAGGTGAGCGACCTCCGTGCCAAAGTGAGCAGCTTCAGGGAGAAGGTCCAGGGGCTGGACGGTGAGAACCAAGCGCTGAGGCAGCAGGTGGCCGGCCTGGAGCAGGAGCTGCAGCGGGTGGCAGCCCAGAACGGGGAGCTGGGCTCCCGGGCCAGGTGAGCGGGTGCGCCCCGGGGTGGCGGGGGTGCCCCTGCCCGCCTGCCCCCCCCCCCACTGTTGCTGTTCTCGTGCGTATCCGAACGCCTCTCCTTGTGTGCCTTGGTCCCCCCCCCCAGCTCCCTGGCCTCAGAAGTGCAGGTCTGGCGAGAGCAGGCCAAGGAGAGTCTCCAGAAGGTCTCCGAGCTCCTGGCAAGGGAGCAGCGGCTGGAGGAGACGGTGGGGAGCCAGGTGCGAAGCATTGGGGAGCTGGAGGCGGCCCGGGAGGAGCTGGAGGAGGCCAACCGGGGCCTGGCCGCCCAGCTGAAGGACACCGAGGTGAGTCGGAGCGGAAGGGGCAGAGTCACAGAAGGTCCGATGGCGATCGGGGTCCGGGGGGGGGGGATGGAAGCCTCGGCTTCTTTTGGGCGGCGCTGCCCCCGTGGCTCTCTGGGTGGCCGGCTTTGCCCCAAGAGTGACCGCGAAGGCCTGTGGACGCTGCCGTTCAGGGGCAGCTGGGCTAAGCGACCGGCACGGGGAGTGCCGCGATGGCAAAGTGTCTCTGTTCTCTCTGGCGCCCCCTCTTGTCGTGGCACGGCGTTTGGCCTATGGTGTCCGTGGCACCTGCTGGCCAGGGAGGAGGGGCTTCCCTTGCCGGAGCCAGCAAGGGGAAGTGAGACAGGGGTCCTCTCTCCTCCGTCACTCTCCCAGGTCCGGCTGCACCGTGCCGAGGGGGACCTGGCCCAGCGAGGGCGGGAGAACGAGGCGCTGCACTCTCAGCTGGCGGAGCAGGACCGGCGGCTGCACGAGTCGGAGATGGAGCGCCGCTACCTGCACAACACGGTGCAGGAGCTGAAGGTGTGTGCGTGGGGGAGGGGGCGGTCTCTGGCAGTCAGCCCCGGGGCGCGGCTGGGCCCCCGGACATGACGGGCTCTCTCTCCCCCTTGCAGGGCAACATCCGGGTCTTCTGCCGCGTCCGGCCGCTCTTGCCCGGCGAGAAGCAGGCCCAGAAGGGGATGGGGCACCTGCGCTTCCCTCCCGACGACAACAAGGCCCTCGTGCTCTCCAAGGCTGAAGAGGTGGGTCCGGCAGGAGTGCTCTGCTTCGCGGGGGGGGGATAGGTCTGGGGGGGGGGGAACGAGGGCGGCCCCTGCCGGCCCCACGTTCCAGGCAGAAGAAGAAGGAGCCCTCACTTGCCTCACGGGTCCAGGCGTGCCGTGGGGGAGAGCCGCCGGACACTCGCAGGCGGCCGGGTCTTTCAAGCTTTTGGCGAGGTCTTCTGGCCAGAGAGTGGACAGGGCTGAGCAGAGGCGGAGTGGAAGGAGAGAGGTAGACTTTCCCGTCGCTTTGAAACCATGGTGGGGCGGGTGGTGGTGGAAATGATAGGGACATTACAAAACCCACAATATTTTCTTATCGACGAACCCTAAGCGCCTCTTACTCGTGGCTCAACGTAACGTGTACCGTTTAGGGAGCATGTGAAATTGTGCTGCTTGGCCTGTTTATGGAATTCAAAATAAGAACTGCAAGTGTGCCCGAGAGTTAAGAAACCGTTGCAGACGGCTGCAGTCTATGCTCCCGTAGCACAGGGCTCTTTCGGATTTTGCCAACTGAAAGACCGGGTGGGGGGGTGAATAGAAGTTGCGGGTAGAAAACAAGCGAAAGACGCCTCCTCTGGGCCTGCCTGTTCACGTCGCCAGGAAGGAGAGGAGATCAAGAGGTGGCCAAGGGTCTGCCTGGGAACCTCCCAGGTCAGTGTAGTGAAACAATCCAGCATCACAGGCCCAGGTGCCGTGGCGCCAGGTAACTGCGGTTGCTGAGGATCAAAGCAAACTGCAGAGTAATCCTCTCCCCAGAGTCCGATGGGAGCCCGTCCAAGAGAAGAGCGGGTGGCGGAATCCAAGCTCCCCCCCCCATTTTCCATGCACGGATCCCGTCTCATCGAGGGTGGGGCCCAGACGGCTCGCTCAGCCAACAGCCAGGGGGTGCGGCAGCTGTAGCCGGGGTTGCCAACCCCCCCGGGTGGCACCTGGAGATTTCCCATTATTCCAGCTGGTCCCCGGATGACCGAGATCAGTTCTGGAGAAAACGGCTGCTTTGGAGGGCAAGGCCCTATATGGCATCACACCCAGTGGCGCCCTCTCAGCTGTGGAGTCTTGTGAGCAGATATTCTATGCTGTGAGCTCCTGGCATTAAAGGGGTGGGCGAGCGATTTGGAGCCTTCCTCCCTGAGCTAGGGCAAAACTCTTGAGAGCTGGAGGCTGAGAAGCCATGAGCTAGCTCACACTCACTCAGCTTAGAGGTAACACTGGTCACACCCTGCTGAGGCCTCTCGCCTCCTCTCCTGGTCCCACCCCAAACCTCCAGGGACTCTGGCAGACCTGGCTACGGCCGAGGAAGCCTGCAGGGCAGGAGGCAGCAGCCCTCCCGGCACTCCGGCCACGCGGGAAGGGCGGCAGCTCCGTGCCAGGTCCCCCGCTCAGAGAAGGAGGCCCCAGGGGGCATGTGAGCGACCTCCCCCTCCCCGAGGCCCTGGAGAACCGCTGGTCAGGGCGAGGAGGCGGGGGGGGGCTCTGACGCGCACTGCCGGAAGGATGTTCTGGAGCTGGGGGCAGGTGTGTGTGTGTGTGTGTGTGTGTGTGTGTCAGAGCGTGGCTGCGATTTAGAAGAGTCCTGTCGGGTCAGTGACTTCATGAGAGTGTTTCTTGGAGGCTTTCCAGACCCAGCCTACCTCGTGAGATGTGCCGCCTGGGCCCAAGGGAGTTCTCCCGGCAGCCCCCTCGTGAACTTGCCGGGACTTGCTGCCCTGGGCGGTGCAGACGGTGCCTCGTGTGCGGGGATGGGGGGGCAAGTGAGATCCCAGGCAGCGGAAGGGTTTCCTCTGAGTGGCGAAGTCCCGGGGCCCCCACTTGTGTCTTGGCCCGAGAGGTGTCTGTTCGAAGAGCAGCTGAGTATTGTCGCTGGGACTCGCAGGGTTCCTTCTAAGCTGAGTTAGTGTGAGCCGGCTCTCAGGGTGTTTTTAACCTCCGGCTCACAGATTTTTGCCTAAGCTCAGGAAGGAGGGCTCCAGACCAGACTAATTTCTGCGGCAGCCCGATCACTCACAACTTTAATGCCGGTGGCTCACAAAGTAGGATTTTTGCTCACCAGACACCCCACAGCTCAGAGGGAGCGTTGGCGGGGGGGAGCCCTTCTCTTCGCCCAGCGGAGCGCTTTCTTGGTGTGCAAATTCTCTGAGACGGCAGCTTGTTGGGCGGCCAGGGATGGGCTTTCTGTGCCCTCTCCTCTCCTCTCTGTCCCCGTCCCCCGCCACCTGCAATACAGAGACCCCTTTTTTTTTGGACGCCGGCAACTAAACGGATGGCAAGTCCCTTTCCTCGGGGCAGCCGCCGTGTCAGCCTCGCACCCGCCAAAGGTCTGCAGGCACGTCGTGATGCTCCAAATCGGGGCTCCCCAACCATCCTGAGCCTCTGAACACATGCCCAGAGGAAGAGAGGGGGGTAATTAAAAAAAAAAACAGGCTGGAAAAGTGGAGTGAGAGAATAAGTGGCCCGCTTGGGGATCCGTGCTCTAAAGGTACCCCCTCCCAGTTGGCTCCTCCTCCTCCTGCGGGCACAGTCCCCCACCGATGCCTGGGCCCACAAGGCAGAACTGGGTGGGCGGTGTCCCCCCCCATCCCCGCCCCGGCAGCCACGGTGACGCCGCTTCTCTCCCCAGTCCCACGTCGGGCGTGAGCGCAAGGATGACATCACCTACGAGTTCAACTTTGACCGGGTCTTCCCACCCTCCAGCTCGCAGGAAGACGTGTTTGAGGAGATTACTCTGCTCGTGCAGGTAGGGGGAGGGGGGGTTATGCCAAGAGAAGGCCCAAGAGCCCGGCGGCCCCCTGTCGGCCGGGCCTGGTCCCTGACGGCGGCTTCCTCCTCTCCCGCCGCAGTCCGCCTTGGACGGGTACCACGTCTGCATCTTTGCCTACGGCCAGACGGGGAGCGGCAAGACCTACACCATGGAGGGGCCGGAGGACCTGGCCCCCACCACGGCCGGCATGATCCCCCGGGCGGTGCAGCAGATCTTCCGGGCCGCCCGCCAGATGGAGGCCAAAGGCTGGGAGGTGAGGCTGCGGGGAGGGGGGCCCGCCACTGGTGGGGGGTGGGGGTGAGGAGACGTCAGGGAGCCCCCCCCCCCCCCGGCCCTTGTCACGCTGGGGCTGTGGGCTGAGAAGGAACGGCCGCCTCGGCCTGCGCTTCACCCGCTGGTGCCCTGCAATGTTGGACTGTCTGTGGCCTCCTCCCAGAGAGAGAGAAAGCAAGCACTGTACGAATAACGCAGACCACAGGTGCTCAAAAAGTCATGCAAAAAAAGTAGATTTATATAACAAGAGTAACAGAGGACCCACCTGTATCAGTAAAACCAAATTACATCGTAAAACGGACAGGTCTACGACTAATGCAAGTCCCTAAATGGTACATTTAGTCAAAAAGCAAGTCCATGAATTGTACACAGACAAAGACGAAGACTCCGGATTTTGATCTTCGTTTCGATAGCTCTTCTTCAAGACGTTCACACACTACTTCATGAAGTACTCATAATGTACAGAAGACTTTAAAGTGGTCTATGTAGAAGGAAGAATCCTTAGCACAGCACGCACAGTGTATAAAAGCCTTCAGACCAGTATTACAGGGGAAAACCCTCAATCCTATTCTAATCATTCAAAGCCGGGCAGCCGATCAACAACAGAACAAACTCTCCAATACTCGGTAAGAGAGGCCACAGAGGCCAAGAGGAAGCTGTGGGCTGTGCTTCCTGCAGCAGCAGCAGCACACCCACGGCCCTGTTAGTGTGTTGTAGTCTTCGACGACGCCTTGCTAAAGCTGTTGTGACTCGTGGGAACTGTGAGCCAGCAAGCGGTGCTGGGAAGCGGCGGCCTCTCCGCTTCTCTCCCTTGGCTCTGGGGGCTGCCCGGGCAGCCGGGTGCTGTGTCCCTGGTCCTCGGCCCCGCCAGAGGCCCTTCCTTCCTTGCCCCGCTCTGCCCGTGCCGCCCACTCCCGTCCCTTCCCCTCGCAATACACAAAAGAGCCCAGGTCCAGGAGCACCTTCAAGTCTAGCACAATTTGGGGCAGGGGGGAGGGGCTTCCCTGAGCCACACAAGCTCCTCCCCTGCCCCACGTTTTGTTAGTCTTGAAGGTGCTCCTGGACTCCTGCTCTTTTCTGCTGCTGCAGGCAGACTAACCCAGGGCACCCCCCCCCCCCGGGCTTGGTCTCCTTCCCCATGCAGTACCAGTTCACAGCCAACTTCCTGGAGATCTACAACGAGTCGCTGCGGGACCTGCTGGTGTTGCGGCCTGAGCGGAGCGGCGACCTGGAGATCAAGCGGGTGAACCAGGCCACGGAGGAGCTGCACGTCCCCAACTTGTCCTACGTCCCGGTCGCCTCAGAGGAGGAGGTACCCGCACGCCCGGCTTTCGTGGGGAGGTGTCCGAACCCACAGCTTACAACGAAGTACAGGCATTCAGGAATGGTTATACGTTTATTGCAAAGCCGTAGATGCAGTCACACAGGCACTGTTGAGAATGGCGGCGACCCATTGAGCCTAATAGGATATAGGGCATTCGTATGCACACACACACACCCGGCACTGGCCAATTAGCTACTCTCCCGCGCGCGGGACCCGCTAGGAAACCATTAGGTGGCGAAAGCTGGTAAACAGTAGACGCTCACGGTACATAACCTTCTCCTGCACATCTGTAGAGATAAGCGTTGGCGGCACAGGCAAAACGGCGAAGACAGGAATGCAATAGCAAATTCCCAAGGTACAGAATGAACCCCCCACCCCCCATAGCAGCATAGCTGACGGGGGGGGGGCATGCAGTACCAGTTCACAGCCAACTTCCTGGAGATCTACAACGAGTCGCTGCGGGACCTGCTGGTGTTGCGGCCTGAGCGGAGCGGCGACCTGGAGATCAAGCGGGTGAACCAGGCCACGGAGGAGCTGCACGTCCCCAACTTGTCCTACGTCCCGGTCGCCTCAGAGGAGGAGGTACCCGCACGCCCGGCTTTCGTGGGGAGGTGTCCGAACCCACAGCTTACAACGAAGTACAGGCATTCAGGAATGGTTATACGTTTATTGCAAAGCCGTAGATGCAGTCACACAGGCACTGTTGAGAATGGCGGCGACCCATTGAGCCTAATAGGATATAGGGCATTCGTATGCACACACACACACCCGGCACTGGCCAATTAGCTACTCTCCCGCGCGCGGGACCCGCTAGGAAACCATTAGGTGGCGAAAGCTGGTAAACAGTAGACGCTCACGGTACATAACCTTCTCCTGCACATCTGTAGAGATAAGCGTTAGCAGCACAGGCAAAACGGCGAAGACAGGAATGCAATAGCAAATTCCCAAGGTACAGAATGAACCCCCCACCCCCCATAGCAGCATAGCTGACGGGGGGGGGAGGGCTGGGCAGGGGCGGTTTTTGGTTCTCTCCTCCCACGAGGGCACTTCTCTGTTCTGGTCCTCCTTGGCCCCTGCAAAACCTGACTGGTGCTGCATGGCCTTGGGGGTGGGGAGGGTGTGAGGTGGGGAACTTTAGAACGGCAAGCAAGTGGAGCCCTGTGTGTGTGTGTGTATGCGCATGCGCGTGGGTTGGCCTTTTTGCCTGCAGACTCTGCTGGCTTCTGCCGAAAAGCCTTTGTTTTGCAAGGAGACGGTGGACTTGTGGAGTCTTGTGAGCACAAATCCTACTTTGTGAGCTCCTGGCATTAAAGTTGTGAGCGAGCGAGCGATGGGCTTACTGCACAAATTAGTTTGCTCTGGAGCCCCATCCTTCCTGAGCTGAGACAAAAATGTGTGAGCCGGAGACTAAAAAACTGAGCTGGCTCACACAGACTCATCAGAGGAAACGCAGCTTGTGGCACTGCACCTGGTGCTCCCCCACCCACCCACCCTGTGCGGGTGTTGCGCGGGCAACCTGGAGCCTTGTGTTCCTTGCCCCTTGCCCCGTTTGCGAGTTCCTCATGTGCCGGAGGGCTTGGACTGGAGCCCTGCTGGCGCACTCAGGAGGTCCCCTGCGTGGAGACCCTCCTGGGGGCGGGTGCCCCTGTCCGTGCTGCTTCTGCCCACAAAAACCCTCTCCTTTCTCGGGCAGGTGCTGAAGCTGTTGCAGACGGCCAAGGCCAACCGGTCTGTGGCCAAAACCATCCTGAACGAGCGGTCCTCGCGGAGCCACAGCCTCTTCCAGCTCCACATTGAGGGCCAGCACGCCGGCCGAGACGTGCGCACCTCCTGTGAGTCGTGGCAGCGGACGCTGAGGGAAGGAGGCCCCGCGGGTGGGGAGGTGTGGGGGGTCCCTGTCTCTCTTCGTCTCCTGGAGGCTCCCCTCCCTCCCTCCGGCACGGCAGGGGCCGCCCCTCTCCCGGGGGGGGGGGGGGGGGGGCCGCCCCCCCCGCCTCTTCCTTTTCCTGCCCCCCTCCCCCCGCCGCAGCGGTGCTGAGCCTGGTGGACCTGGCGGGCAGCGAGCGCCTGGACAAGTCCCTGTCGAAGGGGGAGCGGCTGAGGGAGACCCAGGCCATCAACAGCAGCCTCTCCAACCTGGGCCTGGTCATCATGGCCCTCAGCAACAAGGCAAGGCCGGGGGGGGGCTCCCTTCCGCCGGGGGGGGGGGCTTGGCCGGGAAGACCCCGCCCGGCCCCCTCTCCTCGGAAACGGGAAGCGGCTGTCCTGTTCTTGGGGGTGGGGTGTGTGTCAGTGTCAATGTTCCCTCTAAGCTGTGGAGTCTTGTGAGCAAAAATTCTACTTTGTGAGCTACTACTGGCGTTAAAGTTATGAGCAAACAATTTGGCTGCTGAATAAATTAGTTTGCTCTGGAGCCATCCTTCCTGAGCTAAGACAAAAATCTGTGAGCTGGAGGCTAGCTCACACTAACTCAGCTTAGCGGGAACACTGGTCAGTGTCCCCGGGGCAGTCGCTGTCCTCCTGAAACTGGCAGGTGAGACAGGGAGACAATCGCCCCTGGAGGAGGAGGAGTTTTCAGTCTGTCAGAATAGCTAGCAGCCTGGGCCAAGTGGCAGTCAGTATTCTGGGTGGGCTTAACCAGTGCCCCCCCCTCCCCAAGCACACAAAGGGGACTGTGGGATTAAGTCGGTTGGCCCTAGTTTCAGGTTCAGGTTGCCTGCGTGTTCGTACCCAGCCTGTCCTTGTTCAAGGTGGCTGCGGCAAGCACTGGAGCTTGTCATGTTTGTCCCTGATGGCAACCGGTGGTGGTGGGAATCCGTTTGAGTCCACTCCGTTCCTGGCGGTGCCTGGATTAGTGTCTGGCCGTCCTCTGTCCTGGCACGTGCTGCTGTTTTTGTGGTTTTTTTCAAAAGCCCCTTCCCATCACTCCCCCCCCCCCAATCTTTCCCACCCTCTGCAGGAAGCCCACATTCCCTACCGGAACAGCAAGCTCACCTACCTCCTTCAGAACTCCTTGGGTGGCAGCTCCAAGATGTGAGTAGGCGGGCACCGGTGCCTGTGTGCCGGGGACTGGCGGCCAGGGGAGGGGAGTGCGTGCAGCGGCCCTTGTGCATGCAGTGTTTTGGGAAGACGGGGGCTCCATTGTCCCCTCCCTTTTCCAGGCTGATGTTCGTGAACATCTCGCCCCTGGAGGAGAACTTTGCAGAGTCCCTCAACTCCCTCCGTTTTGCCAGAAAAGTGAGTGGTTTTGGGGGGTGGGGGGAGCAGAGAGCGCCCCCTCGGTCCTTCCTGTGGGTGTCGCCACTTGGTGGGAGGAGGGGGGGGATAGGCCGGTTCTGGGGCCAAGGGGCACGTACAGCCGCTGCTCGCCATAACCCACCCCGTGGTCTTGCGTTGCAGGTGAACGAGTGTGTCATTGGCACCGCACAAACCCACCGGAAATGAGGGCACGACTGGATGCCACGTCGGAGGTGTTGGCTTCACACACACCCCTTTTAAAAGTCTGATTCCTTTTCTTTGTAATTTTCTAATACGTATGTTGATCATTAAACTTTTCGTATCAGTGGCAAGCCTTGGTTTTGAGCCAACATCTGTCCAGGTCTGGAAGCTGTCCCTATTGCGCGGCTCGTGGGGGGGGGGGCAGGATCTTTGTCCTTTTGTGTGGCTGGCCCTGTGCTGGGGCCCTGTGTCCTCTTTCCTCTCCCGTCCAGTCTGCACAGTAGCGGTGGGGAGATGTCCACCCTGACGGCAGCCAGAGTTTCTCCACCCTGCCTCCTCCGCAGTCTCCACTTCTTCGGGAGCCTGGTTCTCTCCTTGGGCTCCTGTCGGCCACTGCAGCCTTCTTGGGGTGGCACTCAGCAGTCTTTGGGTGGCTCAAGTTCCTTTCCAGCGGTGAGTGGGCAGAGGCCTCTGAGTCTCTAGCGTCACAGGTGCTGTTGAAAAGCCTAGCTCAAAGCTCCTGGGCTGATGATTCCGGAGGGAGATTGTGGGGGGGGGGGGCAGCATGCCAGGGGGAGTTTTGCTGGAAGGAATCAAACCAGTCAGCTTTGTGACTTGCCAAGTCCGTCACCAATGTTAGCTTTGAAAGTAGCATAGGAGTGTTGGTGTAAACTTAAGGCTAGCCTGTTTAAGCAACCGGTTGTAGCAGAGATACCTCCTTAGACAGAGAGTGTATCCAGCATGGAATTCACCAGTGATGGCTACAGGCACAGCTCAAGTTAAAAGAGATTCATGCAAGAGCTGTCTATTGGGACCGACGAGCCGTAGGCCCGAAAGAGCGCCTCCATGTCCAGAGGCACGAAACCTCTGAATCCCAGAGCCAGAAGGCAACATCAGGGGGAGGCCTCAGCCCCTCTGCCCTGTTGCTGGACGTGTGGGGAAACTGGTAGGCCACTGTGTGAGACCGGATGCTCGGACTAGAGGGATCCCCTCACTGGTCTCATTGAGCAGGGCTCTTGTGCTGTTCAAGTGATGGTGTGCAAGTTCAAGACTGCATTTGCCTTTTCAGCAGCTTCACTGAGACAGGCAGCTCCTGCACATGTGCTTTGTGGAAGTCGTGCTTACGAGACAGACCCAGCTTTTTGGAATCAGCCTGAGTCGTGGTGTCTCCTTCAGTACAAAGTCCGAGTCCAGCCAGGCACCTTTAAGACCAACAGTGTTTAATTCTGAGTATAAGCGTTCATGTGCATGCATACTTCTTCAAATACACTGAAAGAGACTTCCACAACCATTACATATAGGGGAGTTCGTTGCCAGGAAGCACTACTTAGAGTCAAGATGCGTAAGTAACTAAGCAATAAGTATAGCTAAGATTGAATTAAACCAGTTGATAAGACCTGTGAATTGCAAGAAATTACCATACAGATAATAAGAAACATGAGAACTAAGTTTGAGTCCAGTGGCACCTTTAAGACCAAAATTCAGTTCTTTTTTTTATTAGTTTAAGAGATTCAACAATATAATCAAGTGTAAATGCAAACTGACTTATATCACTGTGACAAATCAGAAGAAAGTATGCAGTGTGAGTTACATCAAGTGAAGGATTTCGTAATATCTTTGTGGTACAGAACAACAAGATGGTACTTCATCGTTATTATTATTACATTATTACATTCAGCTTATACCCCGCTTGAAAAACCCCCCCCCCCAAGGGGTCTCTGAGCGGCTTACATATTTCATTATCCCTATCTATGGGCACACACATGGTCAGGGGCGGGGACTGCCTACCAGCACCCAGTGGTGGGATTCGCTTGTTTCAAAAAAAAAAGAAAAAAGAAGAAGCCATTTCAGTTGTAATTCTGAGTTCAGTTCTGGTTATAAGTGAGAACGGAGTGATTTAGCATGTGTGAAGAATCCAATATCTCTGTTAAGCCCTGGGGGTTCTATTGTCCTGGGTGTTCTAGTAACTCAGCGCCCTCCCCTTGCAGTATGTTTCTGAAATTCCTTTGCTATATACAACATCCTATCCTCCCATCACCAGAGGGCTCCTTTACCGGCAGTGGGGAAGGGGTGTGTGTGTTGCTATACTGGAAATTCAGTGGAGCTGAGACCTGTGGGAGGCTCGCCTCTGATGAGAGCGGCCGCCAAGGAGGTGTGTCATTGGATAATTCCTGTTCGGCAGGAGCATTAAAGAAGGGCCATCTTTGCACCCAGGGGAAGCGGTCATCAATCTGATTTTGTGCGGGGGTCCCTCTCGTGTTTGGTGCTGAAGCGGCCCTTGATGCGGACTTTTCAGCACGACCCTGAGCCAAATAAAGCCGCGTCCTAAGGGCCTTCACTGACACGAGAGAGGCGCTCAATAAAATCAAAGAGGCGGCGGAGGATCCGCGCGCACACGCGCAGCGGCCCCTCTCCCAGCCGCCGTAGCGGTGCCCTCGGGCCGCCATTTTGTTTGTTTGTGTGAGTGGGGGGGAGAAGAGCCGATCCGCGCATGCGCGGCTCCTCCGCGGAAGGGGCCCTCATACTTTTTCGGGGGGCCGCCCACTTTTCTTGCGCCCGGCGGGACGCGACAAGTGTCCCCCCCCCCTCCCGGGGTGGGGGGAGAGGAGGGGCCTCACCCCGCCCGCCCCCGGTCTGTGAGGCGACTAGGAGGGCGTCAGTGAAGAAAGCGCGGGCGGAGCGCATGCGCAGGAGGGAAGGGCCGACGCGGCGGCAGCGGCGAATAACGGCCGGATGAGGGGGGTGTCACGTGGGAAGGAGGAAGGGCGGGCTCGTGACGTCAAGAGGGTGGCGAGGGGCCCTGGGAGGGGCTGGCTCCGCCCACCGGAAGGGGGAGGTGGAGAGAAGAAGATGGCGGCGCCCGTGGGGCCAGGCGCTTCCGGTCCTGCGCGCTAGGGTGGCGGCGGAGGAGAAGAGGCTGGCCTGGCAGGAATCGGAGCGGCGGCGGCGGCGGCGGCGGCAGACGGGAAGAGGGGCGCGGGCGGGCGGGGCC